GTGTGTGTGTGTGTGTGTGTGTGTGTGTGTGTGTGTGTGTGCTCCCACTCTCTAAATTCCTTAGTAGTTCTTTGTGTAGGGTTGAGGCTTTGCCCACCTCAATCCATGTTACCATGTCTACTGTTGTCTTTGTTCAGCTTAACTTTAGATAGTAATGTTGGTAGCATTTTAGCTTCCTCTTCCACCGTGACCCCTGAGGCTTGTATTGCAGATGTGTCATTTGGGCCCAGGCTCCACAACTCTGCATTTTGATTGATTGTGGCTCTCTGTGAAGGTCTCTGACCATTGCAAAGAGAAGTTTCCTTGATGGGGGTTGAAGATGACACTTTTCTGTGGGTGTATGGACAAATGTTTAGAATGTAGTTAGGGATTATGCTGGGTTAGTATGTTGGTGACGGTTGTAGGTTCTTCTCCAAGATCCATGACTTCACAAGTCCTGGATAGTTGGCTCAGTTTCCAATATAAAGCATGATTTCCTTCTTATTGAAAAGGCCTTAAGTCAACTTGGAGAACTGTTACTTACCCACACAGAAGGAGGAGGGTAAAACAATAGTAAGGAATCTAAAAAAGGCATATGGAATTATACAAAAATATCTATAATACATGTCAGCTGGTGTATAAGCATATATGTATAATTTAAATAGTTTTCTGATCTGGGCTGACATTGGTCCTTCCAAGAGAGCTAAAGATCATCTAATACAAAGCTTAACAACTCATGAATAGCCCTCTTTTGAATTGGTGGTCAAGAGTTGTCCAAGAGAGTCCCAAAATATTGCAGGCTATTGCTGTTGCCCCAGGTTGCCGCCACAGGTGGAAGATTAAGTCCCCAATGCTAAAGACAGAATGTGTTTCAGACACAGAGCCCAGAGGCCTCTGAGCTGGAGCTGACCTGAAAGCCTCTTCCCTGAGGTTTGGCTTTCATGGTACTGGAAGACTCTCTACAAACTTCCAAAGGATGGAAGCAATGATATCAGCATGGCACGGTAACCCTGTGGGTACCGTGTGCCCAGTGACACACACACCCCGACAGCATGACACGGTAACCCTGTGGGTACCGTGTGCCCAGTGACACACACACCCCGACAGCATGGCACGGTAACCCTGTGGGTACCGTATGCCCAGTGACACACACACACCCTGACACTCTTTTTTTTTTTTTTTTTTTTCTTTTAATTGATCAGTGTCTAGAACTTTCTCAAAGATTTCAGGTGTTTTTGAGATTCTGCCTTTTTTTTTTTTTTCTTACTTTTCTGTATTTTCTTCATATTTTTCAGAGATAGTTATTGTAAAGACTGTACATTCAATTAATCTATTTTTGTTGCTTCTGTTATTTTGGCATTTGTTGTATTTTTACTTACTATAGTTTTAACTGAGTTTCCTAAGTTGTAGTTAAGTGGTAGGGCTTTTTGCTTATAGTTTTTTCTCTTAGCAGGTGTTGATAATGGCCAGCCAAATAACACTGAAATCTACTATGTTGTCATCTCTAGGTCACTGAGAGTGGAAGGGCTTCACAGGGAGGGGCAGCCGAATCTGTACAGACCTGGTGGTATGGACTGGGCTCTGTGACGATGATTTCATTCAGTTACCCTTGCCCCCAGGATTAAGCTTAGCTCTATTGAGCATATCTGGGACTCCTGAGGCTCAGGACCCAGTTCTTTCTCCTATTCCTGTGCTTGGTGAGCACAGCTTCTCCTTGTAGCTGGTTTCTGCTGTGTTGTGCATCACAGCTTAAGAGGTAGCAGACATGGAAGAAATGTACAGATTACCCGCAGAGTATGTCTATGTGTGTTTTCTAGTTGTATGCTCATAGACCTAGGCACTTCTCAGACTTCCCTGTTTCCCCTGCCAGACTTTACAGATAAGCACCCGTGCCCCTCAGCACACTTGGCAGTCTGCTACCCATTTGTCCCATGGTGCTGTCTGCAGATCCTTCCCCATCCCCTGGCACTCACTGCAGATGTGGACCCCTGTGTCCCTTGCTTTGTGTTCAGTGACCTTCACCTGACTTTGAGGAGTCCCCTGGAACCCTGTGCTGTACTGCTGTCTGTGACTCCTCTCAGAAGGGCCTGTGGGCCTCATGGTGGGAACCTGGTACAGGCCCCATAGAGGGTTTGATTAAGACACAGATAACCCCAGGCCTGAGAGTTTGTATTTTCCTTTTCCTAACTCTGGCTGAATGCACCTGTCTCCCTGTTTAAATGACTGCTTTGGTCTGGAATTAGATTAGGGTTTTTGTTTGTTTGTTTTGTTCTTTTTATGAATTAATAAGACAGCCCTGTTTAGTAGGAAATAAAGTTCAGGATGGATATGAATGTTGGTTGCTCTCTAGTGAGAACCAGAAGTGCCAGCCTTGTACAGAGAGACACTACAGGGGTCCAGCTCCACATGGGAGGAGGCTGTGGGAAGGGAAGTGTCTGCTTGGATAGTATGTGCAGTGTCTTAGGCTTTGCAGAGACTTGTCCAGTCTGTCTTCAGATGTTAACAATGAATCCTCTTGCTTGACAATATGAGAGACAGCACATCCCTCATCCTCCAGTCAAGGGATTTAAATAAAGACGGCCAGCTGCTGGCATTGGGTTTCTCTGATGGTTTACACTGTCGTGGGATTTCTGTAATCTCTAAAACTTTCCTTATGTTTGGGCCTTCTGGAACCAAGCTTGTGTTTGGCCACTGGGTGTCTCAAGACTTTTATTTTCCCCTCATGGGCTACTTGTAGAATCTGTTCTTACAGGACCCAAATGGGTATGCTTGGTGGGACCAGGGTTTGGGATCTCTGTCCTAGATTGAGCCTTTTATGTCTCCTTATCCGCAGGGTCCGTGAAGCTGCCATGACCAGCCTCATGGACTTGACACTTCTGCTGGCACAGAGAGAGCCAGTGCTAATTGAAGCCCACATGTGAGTATCTGAGGCCAGCTGGGGCTTCTCTGACCTCTCTCCTGACCCTCCACATGGGCAGGGTCCTTCTGTTCTGTATTCCCCAGGACAAGTGCTTTATAGCATACCCAATCCCCCAACCCTATGCCAGGACCTCCTTTGATCTGGCCTGTTTGGCAGCCAGCTTCTGAGGGTTTGGCTGTGCTGGCCTCTGAACTCGGGGTTTTATAGCTGAGATTCCTGCCAGGATGGGCTACCGTCATTTGACCCAGCCCCTGTGAGTCCCAACCTCTTCTGCCACACTGCTGAGGTGCCAAGTTCTACTGCTTTGTGAGTGTGCTGATCTTTTTCAACCTGGCCTCTCCTCCTCCTCCTCCTCCCACTAACTGGCTTTCATCCCTTCTACCCCAAGAGTGCATCAGCAGGTACCAGTTATGCAGCTCCTGAGATTTTGGGATGCACATGAGCTCTCTCTTCAGCTCGTTTTATTTTTTTCTTGACTCAGATTCTCATGTAGCCCAGGCAGGCCTCAAAGTCACTATGTAGTCCAAGATGATCTTGAATTTCTCATCTTCTGGCTTTACCCCCCAAGTGTTCAGATTATAAGCATGAATACCTAAATAATCCTCATTTTTTTTTTTTTGTCAGCTTGGCACAAGGTAGAATTATTTGGAAAGAGGGACTCAATTGAGAAAATAGGTCCGTAAGATTGGCCTATAGGTATTTTCTTGATTGATGATTTATATGATAGGTCCCAGGTCACTGTGGGTAGTACTCCTGGGAGGGTGGACCTGAGTTTTATTAGAAGGGCTGAGCAAGCCACACAAGCTAGAAAGCAGGGTTCCTCCATGGCCTCTGCTTAGTTCTGCCTCCAGCCTTGAGTTCTTGTCCTGACTTCCTTCAGTGACGGAGACAACCTGAGAATTGTAAGCTGAAATAAACCCTTTCTTACCCAGATGGCTTTTGGTCATGGTGTTTTATCACATCAATAAAAACCTGAACTAAGGCACATCCTGACGTGGCTTCAGCAGCTACTGACCATAAGGTGCCTACCTGTCCCCAGGCTGGCCTCATACATGTGTCCTCTGTTTGCAGCTGTGAGCGTGTCATGTGTTGCATTGCCCAGCAGGCAAGTGAGAAGATTGATCGGTTCCGTGCTCATGCTGCCCGGATATTCCTGACTCTCTTGCACTTCGACAGCCCTCCCATTCCCCATGTTCCCCACCGCAGAGAACTGGAAAGTCTGTTTCCCAGGTACTGTCAGGTATGGATCCCCTTACAGCCCAGTCCCTCCAAACATGGCCTTGAAGAAATCACTGTCTTTCAGGTCTGACGCGGCCTCTGTGAACTGGAACGCACCTTCCCAGGCCTTCCCGCTCATCACCCAGCTCTTGGGACTGCCCACCTACAGATACCATGTCCTGCTGGGCCTGGCCGTGTCTGTTGGTGGTTTGACAGAGTCTACGGTGAGGTGGCATCTGGCTGTGCAGAGGAGCAGGAGATACAGGGGACTCCTTCCAGGGAGTTCTGTCCCATATGTGTGCACTGTACATGCTCACTGTCGTAACAGCCCAGCACCTGTCGAGCCCTTGTGTCTTTGTAGTTTGCAGTTGTTTTTGTTTGGCCCCAGGCATTTACTGTCATTGAAGTAGCCTTGGGGAACCAAGAGAGAAGCTAGCCATGCTACGCCACAATACTGCTTTTTGGGTCGCAGGTCAGGCATTCTACACAGAGCCTCTTTGAGTACATGAAAGGGATTCAGAAGGATGCTCAGCTCCTGGAGAGCTTCAGTGAAACCCTCCTGAAGGTCTTTGAGGACAACCTCCTAAATGACAGGTGAGTGGTGTCTTGAGGCTGGGGGGTCATGGTGCCTGTCCCTGATCCTATTTCCACAGAGCCCAGGTTTCCCTGGGGCACACGGTCACAGTTAGTAGGTGAGGAGCAGGGCACAGCAAGCTGTCAGGGCCTGCTGGCTCCCAGGCTCTGACCCCAACACTTACTTATCTTTGGTGAACCCAGTATTCATCTCTTCTGTGCCTCACTAGTTCCTGGCACTCATCTCCTGCGGTCCCTCTCCCTCTGTGCACTCTGGGCAGGAAAATGACTTTTTCTGTGTGCATGTTGAGATGCAGAATACCATGTTAAGTGAAATGAGGTTCTAGCCTGTAGGGATATTCCACCTTTTCTTGTCTGTAATAGCCTCACTGTGAATACAAGAAACCTGAAAGAACATACACAGTATGTGGAGTAGTTCCTTTGGATGTGTATACCATGAAGCCTATCTTGTTGACCAAGGTTTCCTCCTAACCCTCAGAGCCCTCGCAACTGTCCACTTTGACAGCCACTGGTCTGCTGTCACCAAAGTCGAGGTGGCATTTTGTAGAATTCCATTTAAACAGACAGGCAGTGTAGTCATCCCTGTCTGTCTGTCTGTCCTCTTGTTGCCCAGTCAGGGCCTGTTGTGGGCCAGACGTGACTGGCATTCCATGTTCTAGGCTTTACAGAAAGCTGCAGTGGTCAAGCAGGGAAGAATCTCTGTGGACGCACATTCCTTTTTCTTGGGCACACATCAAGTGATGGACAGCTGGGTTATGTGTATTACCTTTAACTTCTGGAAAGCTGCTGTCTCCATCTGTTCCTTGTCTCACCAACATTGGTGTTGTCAAGTCTCTCAGGTGGCTATTCTGTTGGACACTCAGTTGCCCTCCTAGTGTTGAGATGTGTGGTCACTGGCACAGCTTGTTTAGTTGGGTTTTCTTTCTCACTGTTGTTTTTTGATGCCTTCACTGTACTGGGAGAGTCCTTGTTACAGCTGTGGTGTGAAGGGCGCAGCTCTCACCTGTCTTGTGCTTCAGTGAGCTTGTGTGCCTAATTTGGAGGTGCTAGAGAGCTCCTCTCTTCCAGAAGTTTCAGCTTTAGGTTCTATCTTCAGCCCTATGGTCTGTTTGGAGGTGTGTTTTGTGTGTGCTCAGTTTAATTTTGTAGATGGTTGTCAAGCATGGTCTGCCAGACTGTTAACTGCATTGGTTTTGCCCCCTGTCAGAACCTTCAAGTGTACAAGTGCACGTCAGGCTCTACTGGGCCACCTGTAATCTTTATGTCAGGAATTCTGTTCTTACCTTTGCTCTAGGTAATTCCTGAAAGAAACCACACTGGCTCTGGCTTTATTCTTAACTTCCCATAGTCATTTTGGCATTCTTGAAAGAATTATTGTACTGCTGTGTCTGTTTCTAGGACTTTGATGAGAGCATCTTGACTCTTGTCCCATTTGGAAGAGCCATTGTGGTGTTAAGGGTCTTTTTTTTTAATTTTTTATTTATTTATTTTTTAACTTGTCAGTGGCATCTGTCTGTCCCTCACATGGGTGTCTCTTAGTTCTTGGGTGCTTGTGTGGGTTTCATGTTTGCTTATCTTATCCTCTCAGGGTGTCCATATCACTGCTGAAAATGTTGGACCAGCTGCTGGCCAATGGGTGCTTCGACATCTTTACCTCTGAGGAAAAGTGAGTATCTGCTTGATTAGTGCTCCCTGTCTGGTGGAGCCTAGTTACCCAAATTTTAAGATTATTTATTTATTTATTTATTTATTTATTTATTTATTTATTTATCTCACTGTGTTGCTCAGGCTAGCTACAGACTCATGATCTCGCCCCCATAGCCTTCCAAGTGCTTGGATCACAAATCTATGGCTATCATATCTAGGTAGCTGTTATTTTAAAAAGAGAACACTTGGATTAGGATCTCAGAACCTAGAAAATGGCAAACTGCAAACCCAGGCAGCAGGGACTGGGATGGGGTGATGGGACCCTGCTACCCACGTAGGAAGGCAGGCTTGGACAGGTGAGGTAGTCCACCTACTAGGGCTGGTGGGCAGAGAGGTCTGGAAGCTGATGGAGCCTGGGATATGATAAGGGCCAGATGGAAATAAACGGTATGTGGGTTGTGTTTTGGGGCCCAGTAGTATGCCTGTGCCCATCACAGCTGGACAGAGGCTATGGGACACAGGGCACAAATCAGCTGGGTGTGGTTTATGGTTCCTCAGCCTGCTGTCCAGAGGAGCAGACAGACAAGCTGCGTTATGTCTCTTTAAGTCCTAGAACCATGGAGGTGCCAGGCTGGCTTCCTGAGTGATGCCATCTTGCTCATTTTTGCCTCATGGTCGTCACTGAATTCTCTATTGTTGGTTTGGAGAGCCTAGTATTTCATGAAGATTTCTGAGCATCTGTTGCACCAATTTTAAGTTACTTAGAAGCCAACGCCTGTGATTGTTTGGATTTTCCTTTTGCGGGTCCAATCAGCTGGGTCTCGGTTGCTCTTCCTCCCCTTCTGAGTCTTTTCTGCCCCACTGAGAGGATCTGCACCATTCTCCTGTGATTTTTTTTTTTTTTCTGCGTCCCCAACCTTGAGCAGTGTTCTTGTACTGCTGCTGACCAGCATTCAGGTGAACACCCAAGGCTAGGAGCTCCTTAGTATCGATGCTGTGCCCTGAGATCCTGCGTACGTTCACACACCCAGGGCTGCTGCAGGAGACTACCTTGTACTTAGTCTCTAGTGTCTTTGGGTTTTAACCGCTTGGCAGGGAGGTTAGATCTGTTTCTGTTGGATACCCAGGATGGATTTAACCTGATTTTCTAAAACCTGCTGCTGGAGCAGCGCATAGCCTGGCTGTGATAGTCTTTTCCATGTTGCGGGATTCATCTTGCAATGTTCTAAGGATTTGACATATATTTTCCTGGCTTAAAATTTTCAAAATAAGATAGTAGGAAATATGTTATGAAATAGATTTTATTTCTCTATTTTTGTTAGTTTTTGCTTCATGGATTTTTAAAGTTGAATTTTTGGCACATACAAATGTAGGGCTGACACTCATCAAATGGGTGGATTTTTTTTTTTTTTTTTTGGTATTGGAGGTGCTTCTGCTTATACTGTACTTTAGCTTTTTTTGTTGTTATTTTTCTTTCTTTTTATTTAGTCACCAAAACACCAAACAATCCAATTAAAAAGTAGGGTATAGAACTAAATAGAGAATTCTCAACAGAGGAATCTAAAATGGCTGAAAGACATCCTTAGCCATCAGGGAAATCTGTGGGCATGAGGCCGACAGATGTGAGAATGAGGGAGCCATGAAAATGACTGGCCTGTGTGTCTCTTTCCACATCAGAAATCTTCAGAGTAGCAGGTATGGCCAGGAAGCCATGTCACTCCACTCAGACAGGCAGAGCTGAGATGTTCATTAGACCCAAGTCATGGGAGGGCCCATGCTTCTTGGATTAGCTCAATGGGAGTCTTTCAGGAATCCTGGCATGAGAACCAACAAGGTTTCTGGAGATCACAAAGCTCAATGTAAACCTGAATGCGACCATTGGGACCATAGAGTGTCTGTGGTGTGTGACCTTTAAGTCTAGAAAAGCAATAGACAGTGCATGAGCCCTATAGGAAGACCAGCTAAGGATGCACAGGTCCTTGTGCAAGCTGGGAACAACAATAGCCAAAGCCCTCAGCAATATGACATTCGTAGTCAGGGAAGGATTGAGATCCATGGGACCCAGATCAAAGTCCCAGGGTACAGCAGCATTCTCTTCACACCAGGGTTGACCTGGGAATTAATTGTCATGGACTATCCTGGTGTGGTAGCCCAGTATTAAGGTCATTGGGGATGAATAGGACTCACTGTCCTCCTCTGTAACCAAGACCCCTCATAGGGCTTCTCTCCTTGAAGTAGCACTTGCTGGTGGGGTATTTTCTGTTGGGAAGAGCCACTTGGACACGGTCAGACCTAACTGTGCCCGGGCCTGCCTGCCCAGGTGTTGACTACCATGGGTGATATGGGATATCTTACAGGAAATGAGCTAGGACATCTGTTCTCTGCTGTTCGTGTTGGGAACCAAAGAAAGTGGCTGGTTCCACAGGGCCCAGCATCACTGGATGCTACTGCAGCATGAATCATATTGCTGTGTATTCCTGTGAAAGATGTACTTACAATCATGTTTTCTCCTTCAAGCCACCCCTTTTGTGTGAAGTTGCTCGCACTTTGTAAGGAAGAAATCAGAAAGTCAAAAGACATCCAGAAACTTCGGTCAAGCATTGCAGTGTGAGTTTTAAGTGCTCCTGGGTGGAGACGGAAATAGGAGGGACTTTGTAGTTCTTGGTAGAAAATAGTTTTAATTGCAAAGCTGTTTAAAATAGAGTGAGTGTTCATCTAGGAAAGTTAAGTTCAGAGTACTCCCATCAGTAATGGCATTTAGGAAGAGAGGTACCGGCCCCTGTGGATGCCCAAGGAATGTGAATACTCCTGTGCTGGTGCAGGGATCTGGGCACACGCACACATGGGAATGCAGGAATCTGGACACGCAGGCACATGTTAGCACCAAGATATCATCATTCATCATGTATAGGTAACTACATGGGAGCGTGGTAGTTTACAATGCACACTTGCATAATGGCTGTGTATATCACATGGGAGCACACTGGTGTGCAATGTACAGGTGTGTACACATATATTAGCACATGGCTCGAGGTTTATGCTGTCTACTTTGTAGGTCTCCCATGTGTCTTGGGTCCTTGGGTAACAATGTGAGTAGGGTACAGTTCCATGTCACCTGTGGTTCTTCTGCAGGCTCTGTGGGATGGTACAGTTCAACGGTGATGTGAGAAAGAAGGTTCTTCTGCAACTGTTCCTCCTCCTTGGCCACCCTTTCCCTGTGGTGAGTGTCTGTCCTACCTCAAGACCATCTAAGGTCTTGCTTACTTGTGGCCTTTAAAGATGAGTATAACTTTGAAGTAAACACAGGGTGAGATGGTGTGGGCAGCCCTGGGATATGTTAGTCAATTGGCTAGCGTTTGTATGAAAGGAATGTGGGTGCTGGTACTTGTAAGGTGAGCATGGGGGAAGCATTGCTAAGGGTGGGGTGTTAGCAGCAGGGTTAGGATTTCCCTCTCTTATCCAAAAACTCTTAAGTATCCCAAAGGTGACATTTTTTTTTTTTTCTAAAAAGTCAGGGGAACTTGTGCAAAGGATTGGGATGACCCACAGCTCAGCCTCTTTGTCAGAAATGCTCATTACTAGGGGTAGATTACACCTCATACGAAACAGTTTGTCACAGGACATAACCAAAAAAGAGCGAGAGAGACAGATTCTCAGGTAGGATTCTCTACTGCATCTTCTGACAAAGGCTGCAGTTCCTTCCCTGGTGCCTGTCTGACGACAGAGGTATCTGGGCTGTAACCAAGTTCACCTCCCTCCTTTTATGGATCCTCCTAAGACCCCTTGGGCTTCCTGGGTGTTGACAGGTTTTCCTCCTGTTGACCTGCTGTTCTTGTCCCAGATCCGGAAGACCACAGCAAGCCAGGTGTACGAGATGGTGCTCACTTATAGCGACTTGGTAGATGCCGATGTGCTTGACGAGGTCATGTCTGTGCTCAGTGACACAGCCTGGTAAGTAGGGCCTGCCTGAGCCTGGTGCCGCTTTCTCTTGGAAAGAGGGGAGGCATTTCTAACCCTCAAGTGCTCAGGGCCACCTCTCCGCTTCACATAGGGTTGAGGACACACCCTGGGAGCTTCAGGTGGGAGAATGTTTGGTGTGCAAGGGTCACAGCGCCATCAGGATGCAACCAAGTGGATGTCATCTAGCTTTTATTTTGCTGCTGCAAGGGCCATGTGGTCTTTCCTCTGTTTTAATGGCTTTAGAGACTTGACTTAGAAGAAGTGCAGAAGGGGGTGTTGGGGTGTGATTCACAGGTGCTGTAGGCTGAGCCTGGAAGCAGTGACAGTCACTGTACACACATTTGGCCTTGCATACATTTATATGCGTGTTTGTATGCATGATCACATACATGCTACTGTTTATATGGTCGCACATGTATGCACGGGCAGGCACACACAAAGAACCATCACGGGTATACAGATGGACTTCAAGCTGGCTTATCCCTTGTTCTAGATATATTACTTTGGCACAGCCAGGTAGCCCAAGTTACTGTTCCTGATTGTGGACACCATCCCCTCAGTTGTTGGAGAGGGGTATTGCTGATCTCAAATGCTGGCAGGTCTGTTGGGATGGCATATTTATGCATGCCCCTCAGAACAGCTGTCTTCTAGGAGCTCATGCTAGGATGTGGCCTTCCTGCCTAGATGAGAGCTGTGGGGACCTGGAAGGCCAAAATGCATTTCGAGATCTTTGCTTTCAGTGGAAACTCAACTCAGTGCCTTCTGAGGAGACAGTTGGTCATTGCTTCCAACTTTCTAGAACACTCACCTTGAGTAAGGACAGCAGGGAGGGAGGAGGAACTTCATGTTTTCTAAGACTTATCTTTATAATGTGTATGCATGTATATGTGACTGAAGCTACCAAGGCCAGAGACGGTATCCAAATCCCTCTGGAGCTGAGGTTACAGGTGGTTGTGAGCTGCTCTACCTGGGTGTTAAGAACTCAGCTCTTGCCGGGTAGTGGTGGCGCACGCCTTTAATCCCAGCACTCGGGAGGCAGAAGCAGGTGGATCTCTCTGAGTTCGAGGCCAGCCTGCTCTCCAGAGCGAGTGCCAGGCTAGACTCCAAAGCTACACAGAGAAACCTTGTCTTAAAAACAAAACAGGCTCTTTTGCAAGAACACAACAAAGGACTTTTTTGGGGGGTGGGGGAGGCGGTTTCATGGCAGGGTTTCGCTTTGGAGGCTGTCCTGGAAGCAGCTCTTGTAGACCAGGCTGGTCTCAGACTCAGAGATCTGCCTCCTGAGTGTTGGGATTAAAGGCGTGTGCCCACACTGCCTGGTGCCTGAGGACTATTTTTTTTTTTATTATTAACTTCTTTACATACAAAACACACTTCATAGTAGTCTAACGAAAGCCAACAACAGCTGTGTTCTAATGAAGCTTCAGAAGCCCTCTTAGCCTGAGGTAGCATCTCTTCTAATGTATGTTCTTGGGATGGGCTATGGCCGCTGGTGTCTACTCTGAGGGATACAGATGTTTGCCCGGTACCACCAGATCTCACATGTTGGCACAGGGGACTCAAATGCTTTCCTCCTCAGGGGCGGAGAGCTTCCAGTTGTAAGAGGGCAGCGGAACCACCTGTGTGATCTCCTTGGCGTGCCCAGACCCCAGCTGGTTCCAAAGGTAATGCTTTTTGTATTCTGAGGACACACAGCACCCGTGTTGTCTGTCGTTCTGAGCTCTGGTCTAAAGTAAACGAATCCCAACCCCACAGTCAGTACCATCACTGCCGTTACTTTCTCCAGACCAACCGGAAAGGCTGCTTCTCTTGCCAGGGTGGGCAAGTCCTCTGTCTTCATAGTACTGGCTGCCAGGTCTGCAACTGTTGGAGGCTGCATGTTGTTTCAGCTTCTGTCTCCTAGGAAAGCTTCCACTGTGTGGGGAGTGGACTTTAGCTCTCTTACCCTGCCTGGGTGCACATCCTAGTGGGGGCTCTGGTCCTTTGAGGACACCTGTCCCATCAGGCTTCCCTCTCTCCCTGGACTTGGGGCCCACTGGGGCTTCACTCCTCCTGACTCCCTGTACTTATCTTCTCCACCTGTCTTGACCTTGGTGTGTTTGCGGTTTCTGAGGCCCCTTGTGCTGAAGTTGTCATAAAAGCTGGGATCTATGGTGCCCTTGGGCTCTCTTCCTGTGTTCTGTAGGTCAGTCTGTCTGTAGAGACTTTAAACATTCTACATACTGAAATTTTCATCCTAGTAACATGCCCCCAGCTTATTGCTTTTCTTCCTTTTATAGTGTCATCTACTCTGAGGTTATGCAGTGTCTTTGCACCCAGGACCATCAGCCAAGGGTGGCACCACCCACACTGAGCTGGGCTCTTCCCACATCAGTCACTAATTAAGAAATGTCCTACAGGCTCATCTACAGCACAAGCTTATAAAGATATCTCTCAATTGAGAGTTCCTTTTCCTGAATGACTCTAGTTTGTGTCAAGATGCCATAAAACTAGCTAACACATGTAAGCAGGTGGAAAGCTCTATGTGCTGACTCTCCACATACAAATTCAATTCACTTGGGACTGACAAACTGTGGTGTAGAGAGAGGGTCACTTTATGCTGCCTGTATCAGCCAGCCTCACTGTACTGATGATTCAGTGTCTGTCACCACCACCACTGTCAAGTGACTGCCTAAGTAACACACTCTGGAACCCTTCATACACATGGCTCATGTGTATGAAATACAACCCGTATGATGGAAGAGGCGTGGGCTTCATAGTTCAGCGTGTCCACCATGTCTGCCTTCTAGTTTTATTCTGTCCAAGATTGTCTTCACTCTTCTTGACCCTTGGGGTTTGGTTAAACTCTCAAAACTAGTTTACATACTAACCAGCCAGGTTGGCCTGGGGCTATGTTGGGGCTAGAAGCTGCTGATTCACACTGGGCATAAGTGCCCTGGCAGGCCACCGAGTCCTATAGATGCAGATGCTGTCTGTGTGGTTGGTCCCCAGGTCTTGGAATAGCTCATATTGTTCCAACTGCATCTCTGCTTTAAAGTCCCTGACCTGTTCACATGCTAGCTTAATGGCACTTTGAGTTTGTTTCCCTACCCTTCCTTCTGATTCCCCTTCTCTATACCTCTGCTGTGTTAGTTTGTTTTTGATTGCTGTGGCAAAACACCATGGCAAAGGCAACTTACAAAAAGAAAGCATTTCACTGGGTTTATGGTTTCAGAGGGTTAGAATCCATAATGGCAGAGCAGAAACATGGCAGTAGGAATAACTCGAGAGCTCACATCTTCATCTATGAACAGGAAGCAGAGAATACTGGAAATGGAGTCATTTGAAACCTCCAAAGCCTACATCACCTCCAAGGAGGCCATACTTTCAAATCCTTCCGAGACAGTTCTAACAACTGGGGAAGGAGTATGTAAACATGAGCCTATGGGGCTTTCTCATTCAAGCTACTATATCCACCTACTAGCTCCTCTATGCTCTCCACAGCTCACCATCTTGTAATGGCTTTAATTCTCTATGTCACAGGCTGTTGGGACATCTCTTGTGTCTCTGAGTCATGCTTTTCTTAACATATACATGTGTGTGTCCTTCCTAAGAACTAGACATGCTGATCAAATGGACAATAGTATGTGGACTTGCTTTTCTGGCTAGAAGCTGCTATTGGATGCTTGCTGTGGTATAGGCCTCAGGGTTTTTCCATTTGGTTTCACCCTTGACCTTGGGGTCCCTGCCCTTACAGAACCTGAGCCCTTCAGAACCCCAGTCTCATGCTGGAGTCCTAGGTGAGTTGGGGGCAAAGGAACATTCCAATCATCCAGCTAGTCTCCAACCTTGGGCTTGGCCTGTAGGCTACATCTCTCCCTAGAAAACGTGGTTCTGGTATGTCTGACAGAGGTGAATTTCCTACCTTGCTGGGTTTGAGTGAATGTCTCTTAGATCTCATGAGGTGAACCTTGCAGGCCCCCATGGCAGGTACACATAGGCCTTTTGGTGGCTTTTGCTAGGCTCTGTGTCTCATACATCATATCTCCAGTTTCATGGTGGATATCTCAGTTCTCTGACATTCTGAAAAATGTTTTTCAGTTGTGCAACTTTTTCTGTATAAAGTGGGGTCACTGACTCTGCTGCCCTGTGCATAAGTTGAGTCACAATGCTAATGCCACCACACCAGCCCAAAGGCATCAGTTATGGAGAAAAGCACTGTTGTGCATATTTGTCTCAAATGTCCTTTAATTATGTTTGAACTTTGGGGGATGCATTTTGAAGCTGTGTTACTAAGTGTTCCTACTCTTGACATCTCCCTTGCTCACTGTTAGTGTGGTGACATCTGGTTAGCATGTCTACTGTCATAACACTTTCAATGTCTGTCTATGAATGGTATAGTCAAGATTATGCCTTACCATCATTTGAAATTCTTTATTAATTAGTGTTTCATGCATTGTGTTTACTGTATAATTACAGACAAGTTTACATTCATCATCTTTGTTTCCTGTTTGACCTTCCTGTTTAATGTTTCTTTCCCCCTTATCTGGATTTTGTTTCCTATCCTGTTAACTTGTTTCACTGTTCTGTTCTTCTGTCCCTGATTACCCTGGGGCCAGCACTCTTTCTTGATACATTGCATTATCCCTGACCTTGACCTCCAGCTACAGAGTCCTGTCTAAAACTGGGTTGCCCTAACCCTGAGGCCTTGGTATTTAGATATGGTCAGCTACTGTTTTTCCTTACTGTTCTGTTTGCTTTGATGATCTAGCTTTAAACCCTGAGCTCCTGTTACCTCCTTGTCATGTTGGGAAAGATTTTGTTCTTTGCCGTCCTTGTGTCTGCTGTACTGGGTCTGTGTGCCTAAGTCCTCCCAGGGCCTCCCCCTTGCAGGAGCCATAATAAGACACACAAGCAGTGGCCTGGTTGCTTGAATGGCTCTAAGAGTGGTGACAACAGATAGAGCCATGTAGTGTAGTCTCAGTCTCCTATGTGGAGAGTGGACTTGAATTTTCAACTATGCTCTTTACATTGTTAAGAAAAATTTGAACATGTGTGAATGCAAACAGTTTAACAACCCACTCTGACAAGTCACCAGCCATCACTATACAATTTAAGCTGTCAGGATCCTGGGACATGGCAGTCTTTAGCCATATGTTAGAGAGGGTGGGATGGAGACCAGCCTGATGTTGCTATGTGTCTTTACAGCCTGCTCCTGGAAGCTGAGTCCTTGCCTACCTAGCTGGGATGTCCTGCCCTGAGGCTTCACAACAAGCTTTACCATCATGGAAACATTGTGTCACAGACCTCTGAGAAAGGTGGCACATGCTGCTAGATGGATTGGGAAGCCATCCACAGAGAGCAGTAACGCTTCATGCTGTGCTCTGGTGGCGTGGGCTGCCCTTACTTCTGCTGTGCTTCTCATTAAATCATGTACCATACAGCCCAGCCTCTGTCTATTTCTGGGACTGGAATATTCACTGTGGGCTCCACTCACAGTGCTTTGCTGTGTTTTAAGGCACTGAGTAATTTATGTAGCACGATGGTTGTCTCATCCTGGTGGAAAGTGTGACGTGCTGGGAAGATACAGTGGCAGGCAGCTCTCCCACATGTTGAGCCAGCCAAGTCACCAGCATGCTACAATGGTCTGAGCAAGAGATCATCAGAAGCCAGTGTTCCTGTGGGAATATGGATGACAACTCTGGTCCTAAGGCCTGGATCCTTTGCACCTCCTGCCCCAAAGCCTGCATGCCTACCTGTCCTGCTGTGATAGCCTGAATCCTGCCTCTTTGAACTCTATGTTCCAGGCCTGGGAAGGACTGCTGAGCTCTGCTCATTAAGCTCTAGCCTCAATGAAGGGGGTGCCTCTCATCCCTACAGAGTTGAGGCCGGAAACATGGCTGGGACAGACTTGATAACTGCTCATACAAAGGTGAAGTGGCCAGGCCCACAAGCCAAGGCCTGTAGTGGTATGTATTCAACTCATTTAACAGCCTGTATCTCATGGAGCTGGACTGGACAGCACATAGGCAGCTGCCTGTATTGGGAGTCACTTTCTAGGCCTAGGTCTTCGGGAGGTTTGTTGTGCTGATCTGGTGTCAGGGACCTTTGCCTGAGTCCTAGCTCATACTTCATTCCAGTTTCACACACCTCTCCTAGACTCAGATATTTTCTGTTGTGAACAGGAAAAGGCCTAGCTGAGATGCTGTCATATCTAATGAGATGGAGCAGGCAACTTCTAGGAAATAGAATTAACTATTTTTAGTATTATTTTAAAAACAATTCCAGCCATGAAATTTTAAGATATGGAGACCAACTGGTTTCCAGCAGACCTGCTGCTGACAGTCCAGCAGAGTGGCACCTTTTCCCCCGAGATTTAGTGATCAAAGTAAAGGATTTTGTTGCTGGCCAGTCACCTCTGCATGCAGACCCCATCCACAGACAATTGTTCCCACTGGGTTCCTGGTGGTCTAGAATATCCTCAGCAGGAGGGTTTTCCATGGGTTTTAATGGAGGGGGAGCCCTCCATTAAAGGCATCATGACAGCTGGGGTTGCCAGGGTGGTCGATCAGGTTAGCAATGCTGGGTGCTAGGAGATAGTCTGTGTATCTGTCTTTCTGTCTATCTAGGTGTAAAGGAGTCAGGAAAACTCACCAATCAGCATGTTTGGGCAGGAGGCCAATTAGGTGTGTATGCTTACAGAACAGCACACACCTGGACTACTGTGACTCCTATGAGCTGAAGAGCAGGAAGAAAAGCAGCTAGGGGCTGTGTGCCCAAATCCATATGTCCCTAGGTTTAGTAATGAAGTCTTGTTAGTAGGGTGTAGTAAGCAAAAGCCACAAGAAACTTAATAAAACTGGGGCCCTACAGAGCTGTGCCCTCAGCACTGGTAGATAGAAACACTGTTCTCACAGGAAGGAGCTCTGGCTCTTGCTGGGTCCTTACTGTGAAGGGTGAAGAGGGAATACCCATTGCGTCCCCCAAACTCTTAAGTTGAAAAGCCTAGGTAAATTGGCTGAAAAGCAATACTGTGACAGGAAGATACAACCTGTAAGGATGAAATTGATGTCCACAAACAGGGAGAAAAGCCTATCAACAAGACAGTAGAACCAAGTCACTGCCGTAATTTTACAATCAATATAAAAGAACAATTTCCAAAAGTGAAGCCTCAGGACTAGGGGTGTTGCATGCAAGAAACCCTGGGTCATCAGGAGTGGTGTGCACACCTTTAATTCCAGCAGAGGCAGGCAGATCTCTGTGAGTTGGATGACAGTCTGCATAGTGAGTTCCAGGACCACATAGAAAAACCCTGTGCCAACAGAAGAAACCCTGGGTTGATCCCCCATCACCATATAAACCGGGTATGGCAGTACATGCCTAAGATCCTAGTACTTGGGAGGCTCTTCTTTGAGGAGGTATGTAGAGCATTTTAAGCTAGCCTGGGATATATAAAATCATATCCCTCCCCACAAATGGGTAAATAACCCCCTCCCCCCCAAAAAAGTTAAGAGTTAGAAATTATCAGAGATTAGGATAGAAGCTGGAGAGATGGCTCAGTGGTTTATAAAAAAAGCATAGTAATCTTGCAAACAACTTGAGTTCATTCCCAGCACCCATATTGTAATTCTATTTTCAGGGGAATTCAATACCGTTGGCCTCAGCAGAAACTATAGTCAGACGCAATAGTCATAATTTAAAAAAACAAAACCTAAAAAAGGAATTAGGAAAGAGAAGAGCTTCTGGGACAGGAAATAGCAGAAGCCAAGGTGAAAGGTCCCATATGGACGAGGCCCCAGCTCAAGACTGAGGTAAAGAGAATCCTGCAAGGTCAGAAGTGACCCAAGGGAACAGCTGGTAAGTCTGTATGTATCCCCACTGCCTCTTACTACTAGGAGTGTTCGTGGTTAGACACCTAATCCTTGACATGGAAATGAGCTGGCACCATTAGAACTGTTGAGAAGGCAGATGGTAGCACAGTGGCTACCAGCTCATCATTGGACGTCACTATTAGGAAACAGTAAGATACACACTGTTCTGAAAAATATGACTGTCAGCTTGGCTAAATGATGGGTATAGTGTATGTCTTAGGGTTTACTATCACTGTGAGGAGACACCATGACCCTAACTCATGAAGAAGACACCTAGCCAGGAGGTGGTGGTGCACGCCTATAGTTCCAGCACTCTAAAGGCAGAGGCAGGCAGATGTCTGAGTTCAAGGTCAGCCTCATCTACAAAGTGAGTTCCAGGACAGCCAGGACAGAGAAATCCTGTCTTGATAAACAAACAAACAAAAAGATTGAGGCCTCAAGTTATGTAGCAGAAACAAAAGGGTGAAAACTAATGCACAGAACACGAAGGGAGAAGTTGGAGGAAGCAGAGCAGACAAGGCTCAGAACTTGCAGGGGTTGCAGTGTAGAGTACCTGGCAGCAGCCTCAGCTGAAGTGAACGAAGTCCTGGCCTTCCTGCAAGTGCAGTGACTTCAGGTTGTCTTCAAACTCACCCCCTGTGAGGTCCTGCAGGGAGAAGACATCCAGCTCAATCAGGATTCCTTTTGCCATCTGGGATGCCCTCGGGGGCTGGGGCTGTCAGGTGGCTCACAGTGACTTCTGCTCCTCTACTGATTAGGGGAGGTGCCTGGAGGAAACCAAGGCCAGTGTAGGTAGCAGCTAGTGCTGCTGTTATATAGTTGTGCTGGTCACCAATAGGGGTGAGGCCCTTGCCACCTGGTCTTGGCCCTCTCCAGAAGGCAGTTAAGGCACCTTCACTGTTGGTCCAGGCTGATTCACCTTTCCTCCTGCCTAGTCAGGGAACTTTGTATATTCGCTGCCTCTCATCTCTGCAGGATCTGCCAAGTACCTACCCCCTGATTTCTCTTACCTGTCACCCCCGCCCCCAATTCCCAAAGGGAGCAAGGACTATGATCTTGCTAAAGAACAGTTCAGTCCAACTAGTAGCAGATGGGAGTCTGTAGCAATCTGGCAGGATACAGAAGGGACCACTCTGTTCCTCTGAAGTCATCTGTTTTGGGGCCAGCATAAGAGGCCTCTGAACTGGGTTGTGACTCTGACCTGACCTTGTCCCATCATTGCTACCAGTGGTTAGAAATACCTGAGTGAGCTGAGTGATAGTGGTAGCATAAACCTTTAATTCCAGCACTTGGGAGACAGGGGCAGAGTGTTCCAGGCCAGCCTGGTTTACAGAGCGAGTTCCAGGACAGCCAGGGCTACACAGAGAAACCCTGTCTCAGAACACCTGAGTGAAAAACATTCTGCCTGGAAAAGCAGAAATGTCCACAGTGGCCATACTTTCTGCCCTTCCCTCTTTTCCCTCTCACTTCCCCATATTCACAGAAATACCAGGCTTGGGCCAGGGCAGGTCAGAGTCTGCCCCTGTGAGACTTAATACTGCTAAACACAGGACTACTCAGTGGATACTCCTGTATTTAACATGTCCCTAGGAGAATGAGGGGACAGTCGTGAAAGGAGGTGTTTGCAGGACCCAAAGCCAACAAGGATAACACCAGCGTTGTAGAGGACTCTGCCATCACTTCCAGTAGAGGAGGAACCTTTGTTATAAACATGGTAGAGGATATCCGAATTTCCTCCAGATGAGTGGCGCTCACAACCACAGCAAGATCATTCTCCAAAAAGGTGGAAACAGTCTGACTGTCCCATACAGGTGGCCTTTGGAGGTGTGACAACCTGACTTCTCTTCTGGGATAAACCAGAGGAATGGGAGCTCCCAGCAGCATGACAACTGACTCTCAGAAGCCAGGGTCTTGACATGCCAACAAGATCCAACAGTCTACACCACATAGGTGCTGAGAGGAACCAGACATAAGAACAAAAAGTTGGAGTCCGTTCACACAAGTGGCAAACAGATGGTCCTGCCAGTTGAGGCAACCGTGCTGTGAGCTGCATGTGTGGTGCTACTGCCCATAGCTCTTCCCTGAGCCTGGGCACACTGCATAGGGCACTTTGGGCACCTTGCTCATCTCCTTGGAATAACAAAGGAGGTTGTACCACTACTTTGCGTGTTCATTCTCTGTAGTCTAAAGCCACTCATGAAAACAGGTAGGGGGTTAAATGTCACCTGTAGGCCACTGACTGCCAACCTGTGTTGAGCCATGTTGTGTGTGTGTCATGGGCCACAATACAGCAGTTTATTTAAATAAGAAAAATAAGGGTGGCCTCCCTCAGTGGTGAGGCCCTGGAATGTGAGCTGGTAATTGGTAGCGGGAGACCAGGGAGCAGAAATGACCATCTCAGCCACTGTATTCCATATGAAGAGAATGGGGCTGCCTAATATGTGAGACTGGGACAATTAGATGTTCAAAATTCCTAGATAATCTTTCCATCAAAATAATTTTATCTGTGATACAATGAGAAGTTAAGAAGCAGAAGTCCTAGATAAAGGTGTGGGCAGTGCTCGGTAAAGTGTCACGGTCAAGAATATCCATCTCAGAATGAATCAAACTTCCCCAAGGGGGAAAGTCAAATAATGTAAGCTCTAAATGGTAAGAAAATAATCAGATATAAATGAAAACTCTGGAGCCAGAGATGGCTTCAGTAAAGTGTTTGCTAATCAAGCTTGTGGACCTGTGCTCTGTCTCTAGCACCACTGTAAAGTCTGGGTGTGGTGGCAAACACCTGTAATCCCAGCAGTGAGGAGTCAGGGCTTGCTGGCCAGGGAGTTGAGTGAAAGATCCTGTCTCATAATAATGGTGATGGTGTAGAAAGCAACAGAAGACAGTGACATCCTGTCCCCCACTATCATATAACACACACACTCACACACACACACACACACCCACACACACCAATGTAACACACACCCACACACACACACCCACACACACACAAGCCAATGTAACACATACATACACATACATCAACAACCAAAAAACAAGTAGAACCAATACACACACACACACACACACACACACACACACACACACACACACCAATGTAACACATACATACACACACATACACACAAAAGCCAATGTAACACATACATACACACACACACACACACACACAAGCCAATATAACACATACACACACACACACATACACATACAATAAACCAATGTAACACATACACACACACCCACACACACACACAAACCAATGTAACACATACATACACATACAATAAACCAATGTAACACATACACACACACCCACACACACACACAAACCAATGTAACACATACATACACATACAATAAACCAATGTAACACATACACACACACCCACACACACACACAAACCAATGTAACACATACATACACATACAATAAACCAATGTAACACATACACACACACACACACACACACACAAACCAATGTAACACATACATACACATACAATAAACCAATGTAACACATACATACACACACACACACAAGCCAATATAACACATATACACACACACACACATACAATAAACCAATATAACACATACATACACACACACACACACACACATACAATAAACCAATATAACACATACATACACACACACACACACACAAGCCAATATAACACATACATACACACACATACACATACAATAAACCAATGTAACACATACATACACACACACATACAATAAACCAATATAACACATACATACACACACATACACATACAATAAACCAATGTAACACATACATACACACACACATACAATAAACCAATATAACACATACATACACACACATACACACACTATTCAAAATATGTGACACATCACAGGTAGGTCTATCTCCTTACTGTGTTAAGAGAAATGTTACAGACTGCCAGAAGATGCTGGGTAAGCAGTGGGAACAGAGAGCCTTTCATCCGATAGCATTACCAGCGTAACACCGCAGCCCTCCTGTTTCCAGGTATGGATGCTGTCATCTCCTGCTGTGTGACATCACTCCATAGGAGACAGACAGACACGTCTCACTCTCTGGGTGGCTAGAACCCAGGCCTAACCCTACCATGACCTGAAATGAGCTGTCACAGATTGGAAGCCAGGGGCTGAAGTCCCTCCTATGTCATCCACCTATGTTGAGATGGTGGGCATGGCCTACGACCTAGTACCCCCACATGACCCAGCAACTATGGTGGGCAGCTGCAACTGAAGGCTGAGCTGCCTTTTGATGAGGGCCCACCTTGTCCATTACTGGTAACAGAGGGTAAAAGCACTATCTTTGGAGTTGGTAATGCCTTGTCCTGGGGCCGCTGACATTCGGGGTGGCCATGCCCTCTCACCTGGTTAGACGCCTGGAAATTCCCACAAGGACTTTGAAAGAGGAAAAACTATTCAGAAACAAAAGGTGTCAAGCAAATCATAGATTACTTACCAGCACTTGCAGTGAGAATAAGACTATCCTGGACCCAAAGCTGGAGCAGGATGGTGGGTAGCAGGAATGCTGACTATTCCCTGCTGGTCAGAGGCCAATGGTGAGCAGATGTAGTGTGACCAGAGTGACTGAGGTAAAGGTGTGCCTGGCTCTGGCTCAGCCTGCACCCAGAAGCTTCTTAGTGTAAAGATAGGCCCATGTTACTACAGTGAGGAAAAGCCACGGATGGGAAATAGAGCTACTGACCAGCAGGACTGCACATGGTCAGTGACCTGGGGCAGGTCACATGGGCAGGATGCACTAGCCCTCCACAGCCAGCATACATCCCTTCTAGGTGAACTCTGATGGATGCTTTCTGTTAATAAACATGATGTTATGTACAGGAAAGAACTTCCTATGCAGGATACTAAACTGCCATTATAAAATCAGTTAGTGTCACCACATTAAAGAGTTCTGGGAATAATAATCCAAAGAGCAGAGTCTCCTGAGAGGGAACATCTGCCATATGCTTGCCCAACCAATGAACAGTGCCCAGAGCAGATGAAGAAAGGTTAGCCTTAGCTCCAGTAAGAAGCTTGCTCTCTTGTCATTTTCAGCTTGACACAACTGTTGGGGACTCATTTCCTGAGAGTGGGGACTCTGTTTAGCACTGACCACAAGTAACCTTAGTTTCCATAGAAACAGAATACTTGGCACCTATGCCCATATAACCAAAAGCAGAAAACCAGATAAACCAAAGGAGGATCCTATGGCCCCACTGGTCACCACCAGGCTGTTATTACATGTGGGCAAAGCTGCCCTACAAGTAACAATAACCGCAGCACCTTGAACATGGTGGTTGGGCTCAGAACAATGGTTTTCAGTGTTTTAAGGAAGGATAGAAAGCAGCTTTATAAGAGTGTTACAAGACATGCCCACCTCACCCCCACCTCTAGCACTCACAAGCCACTCCCCAGCTGTCTCCAGCCCACAGAGCAGCAGCTGTGGCCTCTAACTTAGCTCAGATGTTTTAATAGCAACAGGGTTAGGAGCTGATTTACAATAAGGATATAGATAGTGGGGTGTGTCCCGATGCCCGTGGTCAGGCCTTATCCTTGGTTTTGATCGTATGATCAGAGAATGGGAAGGCTGATACCCAGGAGCCCTGCAACCATAGCCAACACTCACCAGCTTCACACAGATGACAAAGGGTGACTGGGCAGCTTGGAAGTGCAGGATGGGGACCTTCGGCTTGGGCCTTTCCTATGGAGATGTTACCAACCATGAATCACTAGGCTTCACACAGAAAGAGCTCCCTGGGACATGTCCTAACCATAGCCTCTGCTCTCAGTAGCTTGTGGTCAAGTAGCAGGTGGGAGTCTTGGGCCAATAGGGCGGGACAGGTGATTGGGCCCTGGGTTCTGGCAGCCCCAGCCACCTGATAACCACAAGAAGAACCAACTCTGGTGTGCCAACATTGAGGCCCAGACCAAAGGAGTATGTAGCAGTTTCCCCAAGGATAGGGTCAGAGTCCTAAGGGATCCTGGAGACTCTTTGTGGGCTGAGGGCTACATTTTGGGGCAGAGCCGAAGTGAGTTAAGGGAAAGGCGGAGGGTATGGATGACCCATATGGTCACATACCTCAGAGTCCTCGTGGCAGTAGAAGCCCTTCCTGATCTTGTTCTCATCAACATCACAGAAGGCCATCACCTGGGGGTGAACATGGACCAGCAGGTCAGATGGTAGTGGTGGGTGTAGGATAAAGCTGTGACAGGATTGTGGGAGTCAGGACAGAGGCCAACAGAATGAGGAGGAAAGGGTCCTACCTTGCGCCGGCTGGCTGCAGTCAGGCTGCGGTATAACCGTCGCCCCTGCTTGCCTGCATTCCAAATGGTGAAGGACTTCCAACGAGGCAGGACCTGTTCCTCTAGGAAGTGAACACGGTGGGTCCAGATGGTCATCCTATAGCCAAATAGAGGGGAAGTCTAGGGCTGGCCAGATGTTGTGGGCTCCAGAGCCACCTTACCCATTAGCCCTGAGGACATACATGAATGGCACACATGTGTACTTAGGCTTACCCTGTTTAGGGGTGAGGGCACATGAAGTCCAAACCATATCCAAGGGAGATCTGGCCCTATTCGTATACCACCTGTCACAGTCAAGAGGTCACCATGAGCCACTATGTAAACCAATGCCCTTTGGGAAGCCTTTGGCCACTCATTTTGGTCCTGCTTTCTAGGTGGTACCCTAAGAAATGTAGACTTGATGGATGGGGCCTCTCCAGATCTGCCAGTCACACCAGCACATGAGTACCTCCAGTATGTGGCAGGTAAGTATACATATGTAAACATATAGGAGGCTTCACACAAAAGCCAGCTGTTGGCATCAGGTATCTTTATCATTCTCCACCTTATTTTTTGAGACAAGATTGAACCTGGAGCTCTCCAATTCAGCAAGACTAACTAGCCAACAAGCTCCAGGGATCCTCCTGTTTCCCTTCTCAGCACTAGGGTTACAGGAGTGTGTTGTCACTCCTTTTTATGTGGTCCTGGGGATTGAACTTACGTTCTTGTGTTTCTGTAGCAAGCATGTCACTGACAGTCAGACCCAAAATTCTAGTCCTTTTGAGTTAGAACCCGAAAAGGGAGTTTTTCCAAAATGAGTCAATACTCACAAGACAGTCATGGGTAAAAAGTCATGTTCACTAGGAAGTAAACTTTCTGCCTCAGACTGTCTCTCCCTCAGACAATCCCAAAGGTGTCCCTTTCTGGGCTCAGACAGACTTGTTCCCAGGCAGTAGGCTCTTGGATGCGTATCTCCAGGGCTGGTTCCTTCTCAGGGCCCATGAGCTCTACTCACGTGCTGTCCCTCATCTTAGGGCCAGGCCTGCCAGACCCTGGCACTCTGGCCCTTTGGGTGGTGCCTCCCTTGTATTTAGGGCTGCACTCTTGTGTCACTACCCACATCAAAGTATATTTTGCCTGTTCAGCACTTTCCTGAGACCTCCTGTGTTAAAACATTCTAATTAGGGTGTGCTGAGCTCAGTGATTTTGTTAAGGGATTCCCTAGAGGTTCTGGGGAACTGCATAAGTGAGTAACATTTAATTCTGAACCCCAACCAGTCCTCTCTACGGCTGTAGTGCCCCCCTTTATAAGAGAAAGTCAGAAACAGGACATGCTTCAGTCCCATACAGTGTACCTCTCTGCAAACATGCTGTCACTGAAGGAAACGGAAGACACTACAAGTGAGAACCTTGATCTCACAGCACAGGCCTCAAGCAAGGGTCAGATACTTCACCAATGTCATAAACCAAGAAAGGCCCTTCTGATTTCTATCTCTCAGGAAACTTTAGTGTGATGGGAGCAGAAGGCAAAAGGTAGAGTCAAAGGCAAAAAAGCAAGACTTGCCTTTAGGGGCACCCCGGCAGAGGTGGTAACATTCATACCTATCTGCCTAGGTGTGGATGAGGGAACAGATATCTGTCGGTATCTGAGGTATTCCACAAAAAGATAAATGACACAAATTCAGGCCATTTTGAGCTTGAAATAAAAATGACAGGATCAAGGCATTGCCACCTGAAGACTTCTGATAGTTTAGGCAAATGCAACTCTTAAGCAAGCCTCGGGTTATAATTACAGCTGTTATCCTGGGAGCTGCTGCAGCACACAGTTTAAAGACTTTAATCCAACACAGAAACTCATATTAGATCACTTATTTTTATGCTGTGGGTGGCAAAGCTTACTGTGCAAACATAAAGGAGTTAACTGTGTATACACAGGCCGCTCTGTTGAGGGGCATGATGAGTGCCTGCTGGGTGGGCTGCAAGTCACCACCCAGGCGTCTCGAGCCTCACAGACAAGCATGGGAAGGACCTCTTTTACATAAATGATCACATGATCTCAAGGAATGTCACACTCACACGGTCTACAGGATGACAATGTGGGATGAGTGCAGTACTTCAGTCAGTCAGTAGAATCAGCACCAGAAACACTTGCAGCTTAGTGACCAGATAGCTCCCACAGTGCCCACAGTGCTTTGTCACTAATTTCCACCTCTGTCAGTAGACAGTGGGAAGGGGTTTCTTCTCTGGAGAAATAGTGCTGTGTGTTTTAATTCAGGTGTAATTCACACAGGATAATGGAAACCATACTAGTTGATTTTTAACACAGTTGTACTGTGCTTTGTATCTGTTTCATATGCATGGCTGGATCTAGTTTGCTAGCGTGACTGAGGTTTGAGCACTTTCTGAGAAACATGCTCTGCCACCCATTCTCTTGTCACACCTCTATCTCATACACACTGCAGACTGAAGAGTTAACAAGCTCTCTTCTTTTACATGAAGAGCAAGCCTGGTTCCAAATCTTTAATCAGTGCTCTTGGAGGGTTGGAGGGCCAAGGACAGCCGGCCAGACAATGAAAAGTAAAAGGGGATCAGCTATGGAGGTGTGGCTCAGCTACCATCTGTAATAACTTCTTCCACCATGGGATTTGTTAACCTGTCAGACCTCCTCTTGGGTTCCATGGTGAGTGAGCTAGGTTAGAGCAAATGAGAACAAAGTTGAGAGCAATCCTTCACCTCACACAATCAGAGAAGCCCGTTTTGGCTTTGACATTGACAATTTCCTGACCTCTGTGGAGCAGGACATCCAGAAGCTCTAAAGGGCTTCCTTCAAGGTACGACAGTATCCGCTGATCCCACCCTTCCCTCCTCAATGGCAGGCCCGATCCCACCATTATAAGCTTCATGGGAGAGTCCTGACTCCACCAATCCTGGGTCCAACCACACCAGTGACTTACAAGTGATCTGGGCCTGGCCACACCTGTATCTTACCTGGACCATCCCGGGTTATTTCCAGAACGTGGTTATGTCCTACTTACTCAAGGACTGAATGTGTGGCAGCATACGGGTGGTAGCGGTAGAGGAGCAGTTTGTGGTCCACCCGGAATACACCGCCCCCTCTCCTGAGGTGCTCATAGAAGAGCAGCAGGTCCTCTGGTACCCCCTGAAAGAGCCAGAGAACAGTGCTTAGCATGCTGGGTACTGGCCCAGGCCACCAGCAGATGCTATGGAAGTATGATTTGCTTAGAGCCAAGTATGGTGGCACTCGTGGCACCGGCTATCTGGGAAGCAGAGCTCACAGGATTGCTGGAGCCCAGAAGCTAGCACTCAACCTGAACACCACAGCCAGACTCTGTCTCAACAGAAGAACCCACTCTTTGACACTCAAGGGCAATGTAGGGTGGTGCAGGACACACCAAAGAAATGGAGATTAGCAACTTGTTTTCTCAGCAGGTAAGAAATGAACTCTCAGAGGATGCAACAGAGGGTAGGCCAGATGTGGGTCTGAAGTCTCAATTCTGGGATAACCACTGAGCACAGAGCTGCATGGCCTTGGGAATGGAGAGCTCACTCCATGAGATGCTGAATGGGGTCGAGGTTGGGTGGGTCAGAACCCAAGGAGGGCTGAGATGAAAGGAAACTGTTAACAAGGCTGTACTTTAACACCATGGGCAGAAGGGGGCGGTGTTGAGCCAGGAATCAGGAAATGAGCAGAGGAGACAGGGAGCTGAAAGTACTCTGGTCTCAGGCAGAACAAATATTGCCCTGATGAAAACTCACTCCTCCCATAGCATATCAAATACCAGTGTGATCAAGTCTCAGCTGTATCATACACCCTTAGCAAATGGGAAGGGGTGGAGGTGGGAACATTTTGGATTGAAAAAAATCAAGATCTACTCAAACTGGTTTCAAAATGGAGAGTAAATAATACAAAACATATCTGCGGAAGGGCTTAGCTCAGGTTGAGGTCAGGCTCATCAGTACAGAGACGTTGCATGGGGATGAGAATGTTCACTGCTGCCAGGCAGGGGCTGGACAGCATGGCCACATGGCCTGTTAGCCAGCTCCCTGTAGGATACAACCTGCCCTGGGCTCGTTTTCACAGGTAGCTGAAGATACGCCCTGAGGATCCAATAGAACCAGGGATAGAGATAACCTGCTAACACCTTCCTTACCACCTACAGTTTTCCACCAAATAGCCATTAATCCAGGATGAAGTATGGAAACCCACAGCCAAAGATACACCAAAGAAGGTATAGATCAGAGCACTCTCACCAAAACCCAATGCAGTCAGCAAATGGTGAGTACCACAGGAGTGCTGGGAAGACGCAAAACCCTGGCCTTACGGGTGCCCTGCAGGACCTCCCCACCCTAGGGAACCAACCAGGAGCCCAAGTTGTACTGGTTGGCACTTACCTGTCCTCCTTCATCAAATGGGCCCACATGGGAAAACCAGGCCCGAGAGCAGAACCAGGTGGGCATGATCACTGTGGGGCCATGGGAGGTGAACACCTAAAAGCAATTAGCACCAATGTTAGAAAAACCCCAGTCTGTTACTCAGTGTCATTAAGAAAATGACAAAAGAATTTATGCCCCTTCTTTGTGAGAACAAGGATTGGGCATAAGACAGACGGGAGGAAATTAACCTAGGCCACTTCCAGATCCCCACTCTCCTCCTAATGCTCACTGCTAAGAGTATTAGGGGACCCTTGCTTATGCAGGAGGTGAAGCTGTGTGGGGGAACAGACAGTAAACACACTGCTCTTACTGCAAGAAAAGAAACTGAAGTAGCATGAAAAGATACCAACAACGACCAGAACACGAACCTGAACACAAAAAGCTTCCTAGAACAGCATAAATATCAAAACTGATTCAAGACAGAAAACCTGAGTGATTTCTAATGACCTTGAGACTTGAGCCTTCCCACAAAGAAAAGCCCAGGCCAGGTGGGTCTTTGGAGAATGGTGCCAAATGCTTACAGAGCCAACACCCTCTTCACAATCCCTTCCAAAAGCAATTGTGCAGTCTTTCTAAGTTACTATATGAAGCCAGGATCACCAGATCAAAACCAGGCAAAGAACATCACAGGAAAGCAGCACACGTGTGTTATGAATAGAGCCAACAAAACACTCGTGAACTGAGGTTAGCTGTCTCAGAAAAGGATCGTATTCAAGAGTAGGTGGTATTTACCCCTGGACAAATGCACCAGAGACAGATTGATTACAAGAACCTTAATAGATGCTGTAGCATTTGGCAAAACTCAGTGCTCTGCCAAGAAAAGCCCTGGGCTGTCAAGAGGATCAGCACGATAATGTGCATGCATAAATTACTTGGCAGGCATCAGGTCAGGTGCCCCACAGTACTTAGTTAAGTTCTTTGCCTCCACTGCCTATAACTTTTGGGTTTTCCATGCACTTGAAATATACCCATTGTTTTTCATACATTGCTCTGCCTTTTTAGCAGCCAGCTCCTATGCATCCTTTAGAACAACGAGCAACATGTTTTTAGTTAAAAGGCACTTCCCTGGGACACCCTCCTTAGAGCTTTCTGTCATCACACTGCATACAATCAGATGTTTATGATTTGCATCTCAGCACTGGCTGGAGCTTCCTGAGGGCAGAGTGCCTGGTAGGACGATTTCAATATGCTTGCATTACCTTGATTACAAATGGTCTGGGTGCCAGGCAGTGGTGATGCACACCTTTAATCCCAGCACTCAGGAGGCAGAGGGATCTCTGTGAGTTCAAGGCTAGCCTGATCTGCAGCGTTGAGTTCCAGGACAGCCAGGACTGTTTCACAGAGAAACCCTGTCTCAAAAAACAAAACAAAACAAAACAATCCATAAAAACAACAAAACAAAAATCAGATGGCCTGGGCCCAAGCTCAGCTGAACCCAGGACAAACATCTATATCAGAAAGATAAAAAAGCAGCCAAATCTTGTTGGTGGTGGTTGCACTTATAATCTAAGCACTGTCGAGGTACCATGGCATGACAATGTATACACACTCATGAATAAATAAATAAAAGAAAATTTTAAATTAGACTTAATGGATAAAGGTCCTTGACACCAAGCCTGATGGTTTGAGTCCAACCTCTGGAAACTGACATGGTAGGAAGAAAACAGTGTTTCTCAAACTGTCTCTGACCTCTACATATGGGTATTGGAAGGAGCATGCTTACACATAGAATAATTCAATCAATCAACCACGTTTAAACAATTTTAAAACCACAATTGTAATCTCAACACTGAGGAGGCTACAGCTGGATGATCAGGAGTTCAACACCAGCCTGGCCTGCACGAGACTCAAGATGAAAAAAATAAAAGTCAGCTCTCAAAGGAGACAGCTGTGAGGGGACTGCAGCATCTCTAAACTAGGTCTGCCCTGGATGGGAAAAAGGCACGATCCTTGCTAGGAAGACTCACAGCCCTAACCCTGTGTCACCTGCTTCAGGTGTCTTCTTCCCCAGTACAGCAGCAGGAGGACTCTCCAGGGGTGAGTGTCTTTGACATGAGGACCCCCTACCGCAACACCATCACTCAAACAAATCTCTATGGTTCTAATACCCATCTGAGTGGTTAAGGGCAGCTATGTGGCTCCAGCTATGAGGTTCCAGGCTATGGTGGTTGAGCAGGCCTGGTATCAATGGTGACCAACACACCACATCCCGGGGTACAGAAATCCCAAGGTCCGAGGCTTTTAGGAACTTCACACAGAGAAAAGAACATCAAAGGGACCCTTCCCATTAGTTTAGTCTCTAATGGAGTGACAGCCTCCTACTTGTTGTTACAAAGAAATGGCTATCAGAAATGAGGTATATTGTCTTCCCCGACCCACCTCGTTTGAGACCAAGACATCAAATTCTTTCCACCTGTCCCTCAAAAAGGAGAGTTAAATTTGTTTTTATAAGGATGTCAGCAGGCTGCTTCAATAGGGAGTCAGGGACAGATTGCTCAGGCAGTGAGGAAGGCACAGGGGATAGGGTAGACAGTAACACCTGGGGCAGCGAGGAGTGCCTGGATAAGTTTCTATGTCCACCCTCAGCAGCTTGAAAGTGGCAGCTAAGTAGATGAGGGACCCACGGGCAAAGGGCCATGCCAACATCACTGCTATAAAAGCCTTCTTCCCTCAGTGCCTTCAAAGTCAGGTCCTACTTGGACAGCTCCAGTCCCTGAGAGCCATTGACATCAGACATCTCATGGGCAGCCAGATGTTGGAAGGAGAGGAAGGGATGTCTTTTCTTATCAAGGGTCCAAGTAGCTGGTAGTTCTGACAACCCCCACTCACACTGAGGTGCCACATGTCGGGTGCTCAAACAAGGTAGACCTGTGCACTCCAATACTGAGCCACAGACACTAGGGCCCTGGGACCGTCAAAGCATCCACCTTCAGGCTTCAGGACTGAATCGGTAAGCAGAAGTCTCAATTCCCCCCCCCCCCACACCCACACACACACTTTGTTTTTTCACTTTTTGTTTTTTGAGACAGGGTCTCACTATGCAGCTCTGGCTGTCCTCAGACTGACAGAGATCTACCTGCCTCTGCTTCTCATGTGCGGTGCTGGGATTAAAGGTGTGTGCCACCACACCCAGCTCCACATTTTTCTTAAGGTTTATTATTTATGTGTGAGTATTTTGCCTGCATGTATGACTTGCACCATGTTCATGCCTGGTACCCTCAAGGGTCAGAAGAGGAAACTGGATAGACAGGGGCTGGAGTTACAGATGGTTGTGAGGCACCCTGTAGGGAATTGAACCTGGGTCCTCTGCAAGCATGAGTGAGCTTGTCTACGGCCATACCATCCTGACCCTCGACCAATCTCATCTGATCTCAGAAGCTAAGCGGGGTCAGGCCTGGTTAGTACTTGAATGGAAGATTGAGTGGCTTAACCATTATGCCAACTCTCTAGCTCCTATCTCCATTTCCTAACACAGAGAGAGGCTTAGTGGGGTTTGGAGTCCTGGGACCTTCTCACTTCTGAGCCTCAGAGATCCTATTAGAACTTGATTCTAGGTGCCTTACGGTACCCAGGGAACCACTGCTTCTACCCAGAGCTAGCATTGGCCCCACAGGATATAGATGCTATTCAATGCAGAGGTATCTATATGGTTTACTTATGGGGGGGGCTGTTGTTGCTTAGAGGGTTGTTTTTGTTTTGTTCCATTGATCACAGAACCTCACACAAACATCCTACCAAGAGCTACATTCCCAGCCCTCTTTGCTTTTTATTTTGATGCACTAAGTTGCCCTGGCTGGTTTTTAACTTTCCAGCCTCAGTTTCAGCCTCCAGCATGACTGGGATTATAGGTCTGTGCCATCAGGCCCAGTTTATAGTCTATTCATAAAGGTCAAGTTGGACCTAGCCTCAGCAAGTTCAGCCCATTGTTAGAACTCTCCAAAGTTGAGCACCAACCCCACCCCTGGGAGGAGGTACTTATCTCCTGACCACTCTGCCCCTCCACCTCCCCTAAGAAGAGGCCCCTCCCCATGACTACAAGGCCCAGACAAGCACCATTACCAAGTCATCTACCCCCATCACTGTCCCTCCTGGTTCCTGGAGCTAGAATCCTTAGGTCTTAGACTAGATTTGCATGTCCAAAAGGAAAGAACCAGAAGTTGGCCCCAAGACCCCATTGGAGAGGCCTTGCTAACGGTTCCAGTTTAGAGCCTCAAGTACTACTCTCCGGAGTCACCAGCTCTTGACAAGGTCTGTGACCCAGGGGAAAGTGGCTTAATTGCTTTGCGCCTTGGCTTTCACATCTAAGATGGGGATAATAGCCAAGCATGGCGCACGCCTTTCATCTTAGCATTCAGAAGGCAGAGGTAGATCAATCTCTGTGAGTTTGAGGCCAGACCAGTCAGAGCCCACAGTGAGACCTTATCCTGTGTAAGTTAGGAGTCAAATGTATTTCCTAACTTGCTGTGGAGTGCTTCAAAACAAAACAAAAAAACCACAGCTGAGGCCTAGCTTAACATGGTGCAATGCTGGAAGGTTGCCCCTCCGGTCAAGAATGTCTGCTCTCATCATTCCTGTTTAACACTGTGAGTGGAAATTCTAGCCCGTGCACATGGACAATAAACAAACAGAACCTGGTGTGGAAAGGAACTCTCTATTTGAAGATTACATGATTATGTAAGTAAAAAACCCCAAGGAGATACACACACAGTTGGGGGTGGGGGTGGGAGGGAGACCCAATCTTTGTCAATAAATGAGGTCAGCAAGGCAAAATTCAACTGGATTCTAGGTACTAGCAATAATCACTCCAAAAATAAAACTAAGAAAATACTTTCAAGCTGGAGATGTAGTTTAGTTGATAGAGTGCACGCCAGTTTTCCCAGCACCAATTGTTGGAGGCACAGTTTTTTCTTCAATATGTTTTTGGCACATCTGGAGAGATGTATCTGCGATTAAGGGAACCTGCTGCTCTTCCAAAGGATGTGGGTTCACTTCCCAGCACCCACATGGTTGCTAACAAGTATCTGTAAGTTCCAGAGGATCAACTACCACATTGT